TATCAATCGGAAGCTAGGAGCCAGGAGTGTCTTCCAAGGTCTCTCACGGGTGCAGTGGCCCAAGGACTTGGGCCATCTTCTACTACTTTCCTGGGCCATAGTAGAAAGCTGGATCATAAGTGGAGCAGCCAGGACTTGAACCAGCGCCCAAATGGGAGCCGGCATTGCAGGCAGTGACTACCTGCTATGCCACAGCACCGGCCCCAACAAACCTTTTTTAAAAATGGTTTAAACCTCCTAGTTCACCTGTGTGGGTTTTTCCTAGTTTATTTTTTTAAAGATTTATTTATTTATTTGAAAGGCAGAATTACAGAGAGGCAGAGAGAGAGAGAAAGAGAGAGAGAGAGAGAGGTCTTCCATCCCCTGGTTCACTCCCCAATTGGCCACAACAGTTGGGACTGCGCCAATCCGAAGGCAGGAGCCAGGAGCTTCTTTCTGGTCTCCCATGCGGGTTCAGGGACCCAAGGACTTGGGCCATCTTCTATTGCTTTCCCAGGCCACAACAGAGAGCTGGATCAGAAATGGGTGCCCATATGGGATGCTGGCACTGGGTAGCTTAACCTGCTACACCACAGCACCAGCCCCCATAGTTCATTTTTAAGGTAACCCCTGTCTTCAGCTCTACACAAATCATGAAAAACATCCCAGAACCACAGAGGCTGATGAAAATGGTCACTGCACTGGCTCTCAAGGCTGCTGTCTCTCTTTGACTTCCTTCCGAAATCCTTCCATGTTTACACGGAAAAGTGAACTGTTTTACTTACCTCTGATTTGAATTGCAAAATAATTCTTTTTAAATTTTAGTATATGTACATATTTAATGTATTTGAAAGGCAGAGAGACAGAGATCTCTAAAACACTGGTTCACTTCCCAAATGCCTGCAACAGCAGAAGTTGCTCCTGGCCAAAGCTGGGGACAGGAAATCCACAAGAGGGGTTGCCAGGAAGCTAGAATGGAAAGCTGAGGATCCAGAACTGCAACCAGGCGCTCCAGCACACGGTGTGGGCATCCCAACTGGTGTCTAAACTGTGTGCCAAACGCTGCACCTAAAATAACTCCTATGCATGAATCGATGAGAAGATAATGAAGATGGATTTGAAATGCCAACACACATGAAACAGGGACCTTAAGTATCTTTACATGGAGAACATACAGAACTCTCTTCCTTGTCACAGTTGACCAGTGTTCTTAGAGACACTGAAGTCCTTGGCTTCCAGGACACCACTGTCACCCTAGGACCTTGCCGGATGTTCCTTCTTAGGGTCCTTTGCCAGCCTCTCAATATGGAATGACCCAGACTCAGTCTTCTGACCTCCTCTGTATCTCTGCACACATTCCTTCTACACTGTCATCCAGACCCGTGACTTGAAATCCTTTACCTGCATTTCAACAATTCCCACATTGTGTATCTGTAGCCCAAATCTCTGTTCTGATTTCCAGACTCATATACCTGACTTCAAATTCAAAATCTCCACTTGGATTTCTGCCATCAGTATCTCATTTAGTGCGCCCATACTGGAGCTTTGAGTCCCGCCCACCCTGAGCTTAGTCTATATTCCCGCAAAGCAGACTCAGAGACGTTGAGCGCAGTAGCTGTTTGGGACCAGGGGATATGGGTAGATTTGCAAAGACGGCCTCAACATCCTTCCTGCCTACATCCCTGCTTCTTTGCAATGTAACTTTGACATTCCTCCCTAAAAGAATTAGGTTTTGGGGACTGACACTGTGGAGGAGCAGGTTAAGCCACTGTCTGTAATACTAGCATCCCCTACCCACTTTCTGGTAATGTGCCTGGGAAGGCAGCAGAAGATGGCCCAAGTACTTGGGTTCCTGCCATCCATGTGGGAGACCAGATGGAGTTCCTGTCTGCAGCTTCCACCTGGACCAGATCTGGCTGTTGTACCTGTTTGGGGAGTGAACCAGTGAATAGAAGATTCTCTCTTTCTCTCTCTCTCTCACTCTCTCTCTCTCTCCCTCCCTCCCTCCCTCTCTCTGTTGCTCTTTCAAATAAACAAATCTTTAAGAAGTGGGATTTCTCTCTTTATCCTTTGAATCTGGTCTGTCAGTGATTTGCTTTAACCAAAAGAATACAGAAGCCACACTGAGACTTCTGAACCCAAGGTTTTTTTGTTTGGTTGGTTTTAAGATTTATTTTTTATTTATTTGAAAGAGTTACAGAAAGAGAGGTCTTCTACCTGCTGCTATGGCTGGAGCTGAGCTCACCCAAGCTAGGAACCAGGAGCTTCTTCTGGGTCTCCATTGTGGGTACAGGGGCCCAAGCACAAGGGTCATCTTCCACTGCTTTCCCAGGTCATTAGCAGGGAGCTGGATTGCAAGTGGAGCAGCCGATGGCCGGCGCCGTGGCTCACTAGGCTAATCCTCCGCCTTGCGGCGCCGGCACACTGGGTTCTAGTCCCAGTCGGGGCGCCGGATTCTGTCCCGGTTGCCCCTCTTCCAGGCCAGCTCTCTGCTGTGGCCAGGGAGTGCAGTGGAGGATGGCCCAAGTACTTGGGCCCTGCACCCCATGGGAGACCAAGATAGTACCTAGTACCTGGCTCTTGCCATCGGATCAGCACGGTGCGCCGGCCGCAGCGCGCTAGCCGTGGTGGCCATTGGAGGGTGAGCCAATGGCAAAGGAAGACCTTTCTCTCTGTCTCTCTCTCTCACTGTCCACTCTGCCTGTCAAAAAAAAAAAAAAAAGGAAGTGGAGCAGCCGGGACTTGAACCAGTGCTCCAGGCCAGGGCTTTAACCCGCTGTGCCACAGAGCCAGACCCGTGAACCCGTTTCAAGAAGCTCTGTAGCTTCCACTTTTGGCCCCTTGGAATGCTGCCCTGAGACAGCCATGTAAGGAACCCCCATCTAGGCCGGTGCTGTGCCGCACTGGGTTAAAGCCCTGGCCTGCAGCGCCCGCATCCCATATGGGTGCTGGTTTGAGTCCTACCTGCTATACTTCCAATCCAGCTCCCTGCTGATGTCTTGGGAAAGCAGTGGAAAATGGCCCAAGTGCTTGGGTCCCTGCACCTGCTTGGGAGACCTGGAAGAAGCTCCAGGCTCCTGGCTTCAGATCAGCCCAGCTCTGGTTATTACAGCCATTTGGGGAGTGAACCAGTGGATGAAAGACCTCTCTCTCTCTCTCTCTCTCTCTCTCTCTCTCCCTCTCTCTTTCTGTGTAACTCTTTCAAATCAATGAAATAAATTAAAAAAAAAAAAAAAAGAATGCCTGTCTAGCCTAGTCTTGGAGGAGCAGGCACAGGGAGTAGATGGGTCATCCACTATGAAGCCTCCTGGATTGTTGGATTATGGTAATTTCCTCCTCACTGCTCTCCTATGCAGCAGCCAGAGTGACCATTTAGACAGCCTAGGGTGAGCATTTGGTGTGGCAGTTAAGATGCCACTTGGGTGGCCTGTGATGTGGCTTACTGGGTAAAACTGCTGCCCATGGGCAGCCTGTTGGAGTCCCAACTGCTCCAGTTCTGATCCAGCTCCCTACTAATGTGCCTGGGAAAGCAGCGGAAGATGGCTCAAATGCTTGGGCCCCTGCCACACATGCAGACCAAGTACACTAGGAGGGAGCTGTGCCGCAATGCCGGCTCCACCCATGCCAGTTTTCTAACTTCACAGTGCTTTGCCTTACTAGTTTCCATGTAATGCCTCAGAAACCCACGCTCCTTCCCACCACAGGGCCATTGCGCTTCCTTGCTCCTCTAAGGGAGATGATTTTCCCACACACCCACAGCCTTAACTTCCTGCACACCTTGGCTCAAATGTCCTATCAGAAAGGCCCTCCCCGGCTAACCAGGAGACCTCTTCTCCCGTCTCTCTTTCTCCCCTTACCTTGCTTTTCCTTTATTATTCAGCCAGTTACTTTTATGTGGCTTATCTCTCCTCAACACTGGAATATAAATTCCATAACACTTAGGGACTCCATCTTTTTTGTTTGTTGATGTACTCTCAGCACCTAGATTAAATTTTTTAAAGATTGATTTATTTGAAAGGTATATATTTAGAAAGAAAAGGAAAGACACAGAGAGAGAGAGAGAGAGAGAGAGAGATCTGCCACCCACTGTTTCATTCCTCAAATGGCTGCAATGGCCAGGGCCGTGCCAGGCTGAAGCCAGGAGCTTCATCCCGGTCTCCCATGTGAGTGCAGGGGCCCAAGCACTTGGGCCATCTTCCGCTGCTTTCGCAGGTGCATCAGCAGGTAGCTGGATAGATGGTGGAGCAGCCAGGACCTGAATCGGTGCCCATATAGAATGCCAATATCACAGAAAACAGCTTTACCTGTTATGCCACAATGCTGGCCCCTAGGTTAAATTTTATTGACTGATCGAATTAGTTTGTATTATGAGACATTCTGATTATTTTGGATGGATTATTTATAGATGGGTTCTCTGGTTGAAATAAAAGCCTCAGGTAAAACATTGCATCCTTTACGACAGAGTGCTCACATTGTAAATTGTGTAGTGAATAGTCTTATGTTATGTTCCCATGGAGATTAAAGTAACAATACTAGGAAAAAGTTATTCTTAGAGATTGGTATTACTAAGGTGCTTACTGAAACATATTGTGCTTATTATAGATTGGTTCATTCCTCACTCAAAAACACAGACTAAGGCCTTCCTGTGTGCTGGGCTCTGGGCCAGCCCTGGGGATGGAAAGTTGAAGGGTCAGGTCCTGCTGTCCAGGGCACAGCCTCTCAGCAGCTACTGAAGAACAAGTGTGGGAGGGCTGCCAGGACTCTGAGGGAGCTCTGGGGGCCGTGGGAAGACCCCTCAAAGCCAGTGTGTGGGGGGGAAATGGGGCACTCCCGAGGGACAAGGGGCACAGGGTGTGTGGGATGGCTTTGGTGTCTCCTGCCAGAGAGGCACCTGCTGCCTGAGAAACAGGTTGGACCGCGGCCCCAGCCTTGAACCGCTGCTTTTCAGACTCTGCTACAGGAGAGGCAGAGAAGTGAGACGACTGCCTGAGAACTTTCCTCTTTCTTTTTGTTTTTAAAGATTTATTTTATTTATTTGAAAGTTGGAGTTACACAGAGAGAGAGAGAGAGCGCGAGAGAGCGAGGTCTTCCATCTGCTTGGTTCACTCCCCAACTGGCTGCAACGGCCGGAGCTGTGCCGATCTGAAACCAGGAGCCAGGAGCTTCTTCCGGGTCTCCCACATGGGTGCAGGGACCCAAGCACTTGGGCCATCTTCTACTGCTTTCCCAGGCCACAGCAGAGAGCTGGATCTGAAGTGTAGCAGCCGAGTCTCAAACCGGCGCCCATATGGGATGCCGGCAGTGCAGGCAGCAGCTTTACCCACTATGCCACAGCGCCTGCCCCAGAACTTTCCTCTTTCTTTCCTGATGTCACTGATCCCTGGCACCCAATGTTTGACGATGAAGGCTTTGGGAACTGGTTTCTCTGCTGGAAATCACCTGGAGTTCATCCAGAACTTAACCCATCTTCCCTGGGTTCCTAGGCTCCTGACAGTTTGCACTTTGAACTCTTCTGCCCTTTATCAGTTTGACCAGGTTTTTTTTTTTTTTTAAGATTTATTTATATATTTAAAAGTCAGAGTTATAGAAAGAGAGGGAGAGACAGAGAGTGAGAGAGCTTCTATCTGCTAGTTCACTCCCCAGATGGGACAGGCTGAAGGCAGGAACCAGGAGCTCTCTTAGGGTCTCCCACATGAGTGCAGGGGCCCAAGCACTTGGGCCATCCTCCACTGCTTTCCCAGGCATGTTAGCAGGGAGCTGGATCAGAAATGGAGCAGCCAGGAATCAACCAACGCCCATACAGGATGCTGGCGCCTCAGGTGGTGGCTTTACCTGCTACTCTGCAGTGCCGGCCCCTTAGCAGATTTTTGACTGACACCCACTTACTCTTGAGCTACTGAATGCCTTGGTCCCAGGTGGTGTGCCCTCCCCTCCTCTCTTACCATTTCCCTCGCTCTTTTGTAAGACTTGGATTCTTCTAGAGAGTTGCACTGTCAGTTCCCAATATGTGGTTAAAACCATCCTCTATTCTGAAAAATACTTTCTGTGTGAGTAAACGCTGTCACCTGGGTTGGGGATACTTTACAGCTTTCAGATTATAATACTTTACAGAACAATTACAGTCTAGATCTCTGATTGTCTTCCTGGTTAGAACAATTACAGTCTAGATCTCTGATTGTCTTCCTGTGCACCTGAGATGCCGTGGCCGTCATGTCTCGCTCTTATGGAACCCAGCAAGTTCCTCCCTCTTCTGAACTTTGGTTTGTCCCTAGCCACTCTGAAGAGTGAGGGATCAGCTCCCTGTTTGTTCACATCGGCCACCATCTCCACTTGTAAGCTGTTTATGGATGTCCAGGGATCCACAAAGAGGGAGCTGCAGTAGAACCTGCAACCCTGGGTCTGTTCTCCCTCTTTGCTGACGTCGCTATGCCTTCCGTAAGATCAGGAATCTTCCCTCCTCTAGGGATGTAAAAGAGATTCACAAATTAAGCTGTGGTTGTTCTTTAGGAAGTCACACTGGGATCTGGGAGGACCTTCCTCAGAGAGGAATTACAAAGATAGGTGTAATTACAAAGATAGGTGGGAAAGCTTTGTCCGAAAACCCTGCTGGCATGCTGCTTCCAGAGGGGACCCTGCCGTTGACTCGGCCTGGAGGGAAGGGAGGGATTGGGGCGACCATCCCTGGCAATCTTTGGCAGGGCCTTGCAGCTGAGCGTGCTGTAGACTGGCAGGATCTGCTGTGCCCACCCTGAAAGGTGTGCTTGTGGGAGCTGAGGAGCTGGGTCTGCTCACACAGTCAGAGACAAAGGATACTACTGCCAGGTGGTGACATCTGAACATTGACTAGTAAATTATATGTAGAGAAGATAGGGCAACGGAATGTCTTTGATCTCTAGGTGTCATGCTTTCCTGAAAATTCCATCATGTCACTTGAGAGAGAAGAGAGAGGAGAGAGAGAGACAAAGAGAGAGACAGAGAGAGAGACAGAGAGAGTCATTTAGCTGAGTAGTGGAGATACCTGCATCCAGGGTCCGAGTATCTCAGTTCAGTACCAGCCTCTGGCCCTTGGCTCCAACTGTCCTCTAACATAGACCCTGGAAGGCAGCAGTCATGGCTCAAGTAATTGAGTTCCTGCCAGCCATATGGGAGATCTGGATTGTATTCCTGCTCCTGGCTCCAGCCCCTGGCTGTTGTGGGCATTTGGAGAGTAAACCAGCAGATGGGGGTTCTCTCTCTCTTGAGTAAATTAAAAAGAGGAAGAACTAAATTAGGCAACTCAGGAACTCTGGCAAGTGTCTACAGATTACAGATTACAGAGAACAAAACACGAAAGAGCCCTGGGAAGGTTTTGAGAGTTTTTTTCTGAGGAGAGCACAGACTGGAAAATCAGGCCCTGAGCCCTGCTCTCGGATGCCTTAAGGCAAGGACATGGAGGCTGTTCGTCCTGAACTCTGTTTCCCAAAGACCCCTCTTCAGCCTCTCCCTATTTTCTGTCTCCCTTGCCCACTATATCTCCTTTGACCCAAGGAAAATCAATCCTCCTAACAAAAATAACACACCCCTTCTCCCCTTCTTCCTTGTGTCTTGTAAATTTTGCATCCTCCAAATTCTCAGGAAAAGCAGTTCTTTTCTTGAGCCCTGGAGCCCATAGCTGCAGGCTCTGCAGAGGCATAGAGCTCAAGGGTTGCTTGTTCCCTGCCCCCAGCCCCATCCCTTTAGGCAGGGCAAGCTCTGGATCCTTGGATGGCAGCGAGACTTCCATTCCACTCTGGCTTTCTCCCAGAGCAGGAACCAGACACACCTCCAACCCAAGCATGAGTGCTGTGTTCCTCTGAAGCCCTGTATTTGATCTGCACAAAGAAATCTTGTTCCCTTTCACACATTTTCTCATCTTGTTGTTTTGCTTTCATTCTCCCCACTGCCTGGGTCACATCCCAAAACATCTGTGACCTTGAATGACAGCAAAAGCATCCTTTTTTCCCTTGCCCAAATCCACAAAGATCATCCGATACTGGGGTTGGCGATGGAGTGGGGAATTCTGGTTCACCCTGCCTCCACCCAGTCCTCCTGTGAACTGAGCTCGTTGGCAAGTTTGATGATATGCGTGCACTTCCTGACGTGGAGCGCGGGCCCTTCATTCTCTTGCGTTGGCAGCCACATTCCTGCAGTTGCACTTCCCTCTGTCCATACTGCCTGCCTGGGCCACAGGGGAAGCAGGGAAAGCAGGTGGGAATCAGCTGCAGGGGCCCTGACCAGTCATTTCCAAAGACAAGTGCGAAGGGAGTAAGAAACTCTTTCCAGAAAGTTCCTAACAATCTCATCTAAAAGAGAAGTCTGAAAAGGTTCTGCCATTTTACTATGTGGATCGTCACTGGCTGCTCACGTGATCCACTCTGCAGACAGCCAGGTGTCACACTGGGACAGGGTCCTTCAGGTTCGTTTGTGTGGAACTTTGCCATGCGCCTCAGGTTGTGCGTGTCAGTAAACTTCACAGATTATATCAGCAGCTTTCCAAAACCAGTCCTCACAAAATGTACAAGTGGCTTAAAAAGAAAATCCTGCAAAGAAACCTCAGTTTGAGGATAATACTATTAACACAAGCACTAGGCAACGAGCAAGTATTTCATAGCCGGTATGAGCTCTTAATCAGCCACATCAGGAGACAAAAACAGCAGCGATCTGATCAAGTCTTACTTTGAACCAAGTCAAAAAGTATTCAAAATTATAAGAAGAATATTGAAATCAGGGTTTGCATCCACCGCAATGAACACTAAGCTCTTCATATGTGAATATTGGATCTTGAACACTGACCCCGTGGGGTATCTTCTCAGCATGACAGACATTCAAGCCCGTCGTGGAGACACACTCAACTCAGAGCAAATCCTTCAAACTGCTTCACCACAAAGCATTAGACCAACATTTCCAGAGAAGCACAGTCACTCCCCTTCTGATGCAGCAGGAGCTTTTATATGATTATTCTATTTTTAAGATTACTTATAAGATAATGTTACTATGCTAATATCCTTATAAATATTTTTGTACATGCTTTATAATGCACATCATGTTACCACAGCAGCAGACATATATCATAAATATACATTTATATGAGAATACAAAATAAATGATATAAAATATAAAACATATTTACATTCAAATGATATAAAATTTTTTTTTATCTTTTTATTTTATTTTTTATTTTTTGACAGGCAGAGTGGACAGTGAGAGAGAGAGAGAGACAGAGAGAAAGGTCTTCCTTTGCCGTTGGTTCACCCTCCAATGGCCACCGCAGCTAGTGCGGCGCACCGCGCTGATCCGATGGCAGGAGCCAGGAGCCAGGTGCTTCTCCTGGTCTCCCATGGGGTGCAGGGCCCAAGTACTTGGGCCACTCTCCACTGCACTCCCTGGCCACAGCAGAGAGCTGGCCTGGAAGAGGGGCAACTGGGACAGAATCTGGCGCCCCGACCGGGACTAGAACCCGGTGTGCCGGCGCCGCAAGGCGGAGGATTAGCCTAGTGAGCCGCGGCGCCGGCCCCAAATGATATAAAAATTTTAAAAATTGGAGGCGCATGCTCAAATTTCTTTTCCTCAAAGGGTACACACTCGTAAAAGGCTGGATTCCACTGATCAAAGTGAGAGGTGTCAATGATTTAGACTAGAATAGGGCAGTGGACTCAGAAAGAAGTGGTCTGATTATAGAAACACTGCAGCAGGATTTACAACAGGACTCATTGACAACTGGGGTACAAGAGGAAAATGAAGCAGTCAACAAGGATGGCAACTCCCAGGTTTCTTTTTTTCAATAAGTCATAATAAGTCAGTTTCTCTCTCTCTCTCTCTCAAAGGCAAGATGAGAGAGAGAGAGAGAGAGAGAGAGAGAGAGAGAGAGAGAGAAATCATCCATCTGCTGGTTCACTTCCTAAATGGATGCATACCCAGGGCTAGGCCAGGCTGAAGCCAGAAACCTAAAACTCCATCCAGGTCTCCCATGTGGGGGCAGGAGCCAAGCACTTGGGCCATCTTCATTGCTTTCCCAGGTGCATTAGCAGGGAGTTGGATCAGAAGTCAAACTGGAGCTCTAACATGGGATGCCAGTGTTGCAGGTGGCAGCTTAACTCGCTGTGTGACAACACTGGCCTCTCCAAAGTTTCTGACTTGAGCAACTGAGGGATGGCAGTGCTACTCAATGGGAAAGCAAGGAAATGGAAGATTGGCTTTGGGCGTGTTGCCCTGGAGTTGTATTCATCATTAAAAGGTGAAGCTCTAAGGAGTATGCTAAGGTTGAGTTATGCAGTTGGGAATTTTCATCTGCAGATGTTGTTGGGAAAGGGTGACATTACCTACGGAGGGAAAAGGAGATTAGGCATGGAGGCATGAGGAGTGTTCAGAGGGTAAAGAGAGTAGAAGCTGCTAGTGTCTTAAAATCGGACACATCTCAGATTTGCAATGTAGGTAATTTAAAAAGCCTCTGAAATGACTCTTCTGCTTTTGTCCATGCCACAGGCCATTCTCACCTAGCAGCACAATACCCTCAGTTATCAGATCATGCCACCCTACTCAGAAAGAGCCAGTGGCTCCCCATCTTACTAAAAAAAAAAAAAAAAAAAAAAAAAAAAAAGAAACAAAACCCTAAGTTTTTACAATGACCTCCAAGATTCCCTCCTTCTCTGTCCCTTTTTGTCTTTCTGACTCTATCTTCATTTTTTTTCTAAGATTTATTTATTTATTTGAAAGGCAGAATTACAGAGAGGCAGAGGCAGAGAGAGAGACAGAAAGAGGGGTCTTCCATCCGCTGGTTCATTCCCCAGATGGCCGCAATGGCCAGAGCTGTGCTGATCCGAAGCCAGGAGCCAGAAGCCTCCTCCAGGTCTCTCACGTGGGTGCAGGGGCCCAAAGACTTGGGCCATCTTCTACTGCTTTCCCAGGCCACAGCAGAAAGCTGGATTGGAAGTGGAGCAGCCAGGACTAGAACCTGTGCCCATATGGGATGCTGGCACTTCAGGCCAGGGTATTAACCTGCTGCACCACAGAGCTGGCCCTGAAAAATTCTTTTTCTATATGGAATAAAACCAAAAAGCCCTGACCATCTGAGCCATTTGCTCATGGTTTTGTTGGTAGCAAGCATCCTTGAAGAGAGACACATCTCCTCCTGCAACCCCAAACTGCAGGGTTGGTTCCACACATTGTGCAAGTGGTGATTTCCCCGAGCTCCTGGCCTAAGTGCCAGCATCCCATATGGGTGCTGTTCAAGTACTGGCTGTGCCACTTCCAATCCAGGTCTCTGCTATGGCCTGGGAAAGCAGCAGAAGATGGCCCAAGTCCTTGGGCCCCTGCACCATGCAGGAGACCCGGAAGAAGCTCCTGGCTTCGGATCGGCGCAGCTTCGGCCGTTGTGGCCAACTGGGGAGTGAACCAGCGGATGAAGATCTCTCTGTCTCTACCCCTCTCTCTGTAACTCTTTCAAATAAATAAAATTTAAAAAGTAAAATAAAATAAAGTGGCTTCAGGACAGGCATTGAATGTAGCACTTAAGTCACTGTTTGGGAAGCTCACCTCCCATATTAGAGTGCCCGGGTTCCAGTTTCACTTCCACTTTCAATTTAGCTTCCTGCTAAGGTGCACCCTGGGAGGCAGCAGGTAACGATGTCTAAAGTATTTGGGTCTCTCCCATCAGCATGGGAGACCTAGATTGAGTTCCTAGCTCCTGTTTTCAGTCTGTCCCTTTCTCGAGTATTATGGGCATCTGGGGAATTAAATCAGTGGGTGGAAGATCTCTCTCTCTGCCTTTGAAATAAATTTAAAATTTTTTTCTAACAAGGGCTGGTGTTGTGGTGTAGCAAGTGAAACTGCCACCTGTCATGCTGGCATCCCATATGGACACTGGTTCAAGTCCCGGCTGCTCCACTTCTGATCCAAGTCCTTTCTGATGGTCCAAGTGCTTAGACCCCTGCCACCCATTTCGGAGACCAGGATGAAGCTCCTGCCTTCGGCCTGGCTCTGCCCTGGCCATTGAGGCCACTTGGGGAGTGAACAAGCCGATGGAAGATCTCTCTTTCAAATAAATAAATATTTAAAAAATTCTTTTCTAACTAATGAATATTTTAATTATTTTGTATCTCACATAAGTAAAACATTTTGCACATATTTCATATGATCCTTTATATACCCAAAATAGCTATTAGCCCCGTTTTTATTTATTTATTTATTTATTTATTTATTTATTTATTTTTTGGACAGGCAGAGTGGACAGTGAGAGAGAGAGAGAGACAGAGAGAAAGGTCTTCCTTTGCCGTTGGTTCACCCTCCAATGACCGCCGCGGCCGGTGTGCTGCAGCCGGCGCAGCACTGCGCTGATCCGATGGCAGGAGCCAGGAGCCAGGTGCTTTTCCTGGTCTCCCATGGGGTGCAGGGCCCAAGCACTTGGGCCATCCTCCACTGCACTCCCTGGCCACAGCAGAGAGCTGGCCTGGAAGAGGGGCAACCGGGACAGAATCTGGCGCCCCGACCGGGACTAGAACCCGGTGTGCCGGCGCCGCAAGGCGGAGGATTAGCCTAGTAAGCCACGGCGCTGGCCACGCCCCGTTTTTTTTTTTTTTTTAAGACAAGGAAACTGAAGATTGATCCTGAAGCCATGTGTTCCCTGACCAAAGCCAATACTCTCCCTATGAAATTGAGAAGGCAGGGCCGGCGCTATAGCATAATAGGCTAAGCCTCACCCTGTGGCTCTGGCATCCTATATGGGCACTGGTTTGAGTCCCAGCTGCTCCTCTGCTTATGGGCTGGAAAGGCAGTGGAAGACAGCCCAAGTGCTTGAGCCTCTGCACCCATGTGGGAGATCCTGAAGCTCCTGGCTTCAGACTGGCCCGACTCTGGCCATTTGGGGAGTGAATCAGTGGATGGAAGACCTCTCTCTCTCTCTCTCTCTCACAAATAAATAAATCTTAAAAACACAAAAAACTGTGTGGGTTGTGTTTCACAGGTTCTCAATAAGCTGGAAGGGAAATATTATAATCCCATAGGTACTCACTTTGAAATAGTTTTAAGTATAATTAAAGACCATATTTTCCACTCATTAAAATCTTTATTATTTACCATATGTACAATATTGCTAAATACTAAGGGGAAACAAAGACAAAATTTTAAATGGTGCCAACTCTCAAGGAGTTTACAATCGAATGATAAGTAGTTTAACATACACTGTAGGAGGGGAATACCAGTAAACATTTACCCCTGAGAAAATTACCTTATTTTTCAATTTAAAGCATAAATTGCCTGTTGGGAAACACTGCTATTATACATATTTTTATTAGTTCATTCTTCTTAAAGGATATTGGTTGTTTCTGGAAAAGAAAATGTCTTACCCTGTAACATCTTTACAATTAATTTGATTAAAAACTTTTTTTTTGTTTAAAGAGGAAAAATTTAGATTCTCGGGGGAGGCATTTGGCACAGCTGTTAAGATGCCACGTGTGACAACCGAACCCACACTGGAATGGCTGTGTCTGAATGCACTCTCAGCTTCAGCTTCCTGCTGAAGCACAGGTTAGGAGGCAGCTGATGGTTCCAGGAGTTGGGTCCCCACCAGCCACACTGAGACCCAGATTGAGTTCTCGGCCCCCAGTTTCAGCCTTGTGTAGCCCCTGCTGCTGGGGCCATTTGGGAGTGATCCAGCAGATGGGAGACCTCTGTCTCTCTGCTTTTCAAATACGTAAACAATATACAAAAATTTTAAACTTGTAAATTCACAAAATCAAATTAACTTCATGCATAGACAAAGTGTGTCTGCAATAATAGGTAAAAAGTTGAGCACAACTAGGTCTAGCATCAAAGTATTAAACCTGAATTACTTTGGAGATTTGCCTTGGACAAGTCACTATGTACGAATTCACCATTTATAAGAGGGATATTTACCTCTAGTTAGGATTATAACTCATAGAGTCCACATTTTTTTCCATCTGTAATACTATGCAAGGTTTAAAAACTAGCACAAAAACTTTCCTATTAATAACTTACATATTAAAATAATTTAGACAAAAACTAGAGCTAAAAAAAGAGAAAATCATAATGGTATGGAGTAAACTCTCAGTGCAGAAATGAATGTAAATTTGCATGTCTATTTTCCCCTTTTATTCCTTTTTAAAAATGGCTCAGATAAAAAACTTAAAATATGTAGCAACACAAGCTTGAGAGCTCATTTTGTGAAATGCAGTGTAGAGAAAAAGAATGGGCAACATTTATAATTTAAAATATTTATTGATTCATGCCTTCCAGAATTTTTTAAAAGGTCAGTCACCAAAGGCCAACACGTTTTTCTGCTCTCAATACTAAGCCATGTTTTTCCACTGACAATAACGAAGTAATGTGTATTTTGACAGCTAATCAGTTGGTGACAGCTGTGAGTCTCTGTTTTTAAATACAAGATCAGAGTTGCAAACAGACCAAATGTAGCAACTGTAAAAAATGAATGGGCCAAGCCTTACTCTAAGTGACCAAATGACCAATCAGCCAGATGCAGCACTCCTAGGCTACAGATGTCTTTGCTCAACAGCTCCGCACATATCTGAGTTGTCTCCATGGATGTTCTCAACGTCACAAATGTGGCTGCGACAGCCCTGATGCTGCAAACAGTATGCAGAGAGCTCGCTGCATGATTCCTCAGTTTTATTCCTCAGCAGGTTTCTCTTCACTTTCTTCTTCAGCTTCAGCTTCTTCCTTGCAAGAATCCTGACTGTTGGCATCAACAAAATAACTTTCTTCCCCATTCTCTCTTTCTTCTATTTTTTCTTCTTCATGAAGGCTAGAGGAAGAAATTTATCAATCTTTGAAAGGAAAAATGAGCTAGCTTAAAGGTAAACAGACTCTGCAATGAATGCCATCGTGGAGCCAGTCTTCCTCAAGTGTCTGAGCTCCAATTTATTGAGAACCAGCTCTATAAAGTGCCAACTGGGAAATTAAATATTCCTCTGGAAACTAATTTATTTCAAATTTGAGCGACTGACTCTTTAAACCTCATATGAAAGAATGCTATTATTTTTGTTATCTATATCAGATAGAAATCATAGTCTGCAAAATACTCCATCACCATGTTAACATTTTGAATGTCAAACGTTAAAATATCAGTGTATGTTTTACAACCATTCATATGTATTCTTTCAGGAAAAAAACCCTTTTTAAAATGATATAGGACAGAATTTTATTCTTTCTTGCAGGTAAGATTTTTTCAAAGGTAAACCATTCATTTTACATATGTTACCTTTCTTTATCTTCACTGAAACTTTGCGATTCTTCATTGGCGAAGCACTCAAGTACTTTTCCACTTTGGCCTTTCCTTGAAACAAACTCATCAGATATTCCTAGTGCTTTTAGGGTGTTAGAATAATGCTTTTCTGCTGCCATCCTTGCATTTTTCTATAGGAAAGACAAACCTTTTAGATGAGAATAAAGACTTTATATTTCCATTAAAATATATGGGTTAAAAGCGCCAGTGAAAATTAAGTTTAACAATCACAGCTGGTTGAAAATATGCATGCTGGGGCTGGCACTGTGGTGCAGTGGGTTAAAGCCCTGGCCTGAAGTGCCTGCATCCCAAATGGGTGCCAGTTCTAGTCCCAATTGCTCCTCTTCCAATCCAGGTCTCTGCTATGGCCTGGGAAAGCAGTAGAATATGGCCCAAGTGCTTGGGCCCCTGCACCCGTGTGGGAGACCCGGAGGAAGCTCCTGGCTCCTGGCTTCAGATCGGCACAGCTCTGGCCATTGCGGCCATCTGGAGAGTGAACCAGTGGATAGAAGACCTTTCTCTCTGTCTCTACCTCTCTTTGTAACTCTGTCATTCAAATAAATAAAATAATTTTAAAAAAAGGAAATATGCATGCTGTATGATTAACAACTGCATTAGTAGATATATACCCACACAAAGTACATGTGAGACCTAGGAGATGTGTAGCAGACTGCTTAGGATAAACTGTGGGATCCTAAGACTGTAAACAGTCCAGATACCTATCAACAGGTAGATGAATAAATAACAACACAGTAAATGTTGTTATTTACTGCCCACATGGATAGTTAATAAAGAAATGAAAATGAATTAACTGGGGGCAGGCATTGTGGAGCCGCCAGTAAAGCCACTGCTAGAGGAGCCTGTATCCCATGTCAAAGAGCCAGTTAGAGTCCTGGCTACTTTGCTTCCAATCCAGCTCTGCTCCTAAGAGACAGCAGAAGATGGCTCAAGTGCTTGGGCTCCTGCTACCCATGTGGGAGACCTAGAAGGAGTTCTAAGCTCCTGGCTTTGGCTTGGCCCAGATCTGGTTGTTGGGAGGCATTTGGGAAGCAAACCAGTAGATGGAAGATCTGTCTGTCCCTCTCTCCCTGCCTTTCAAATAAAATGAAAAATAAAAATCAATCTAAAACATAATACTAAGTAAAAGAAGCAAATCCCAAACAAATATAGTATGATTCATTCACATAAAGTTCAAGAACAGTCGAAACTAAACCATATTGTTTGCAGTTATGCAGGTAGTAAAACTGAGAAGAAAAACAGGAAATGCCTATCACAAAAGTTAGAATGGTGGAACCTCTGTGGGAAAGGTAGGAGGCTGAGATCTGGAAGGGGCACAGGGTTACTGCCATGCTGGCAATCTATTTGTTAACCTGGGTGGTAACACATGAGTTTTGGCCTGTAATTATTTTTTACACACTACCTACGTTTCATATACTTTTATGACTGTATAAAGATACCTGGAAAAATCAGTAAGAAGGTAATTTCAGCACTGGCATTTGGCCTAATGGTTAAGATATTCTTATCTCGTATCAGAGTACCTGGGCTTGATACCTGGCTTTTCTTCTAATTCCAGCTTCCTGCACGTGCAGACCTGGGAGGCACTGGTGATGGCTCAAGTAATTGATTTCGATTTCTGCCATCCACGTGGAAGAACTGGATGAAGTCCCCAGCTTCCAGCTTTGGCCAGGCCTGGTCCCAGCCATAGTGGGCTTTTAGGGAATGAACCATAGGATAGGAGGTCTTTTTTTGCCTCTTAAATAGATAAATGGGAGAATAAATTCATGTGATAGTTGTCAGAAGGTTCTTCAATTTATATGCCTACTGTAATCTGTCAAAGACGATAAAATCTTCAGCATTGTTATCTTTGCTCTGTGGCAGAGGGCATACGGCAGAAAAAACACAGATTCAGAGCTGGATTCAAACCTCTGGCTTTGGGATCTGTTGAGTTAGGATGACTCTTACACACCTGGAGCAAATCGAAGGCATTATAGCTCCTGAGGCCACAGGTGTCACGAGCCGTAAGATGACTGGGTGGCTCAGGTCTAGTCCACTCTAGCCCCTGTTAGTGGATCTGAACGGGCACAGGGCTAAGAACTGCTCTCTGGGTCTTCAACCAAAGCAAAGGGAGAGACTGACCAGGTTCCAACACACCGATGAGAACACATTCTACGTGGGCATAAGGAAACAATGACCCTCCTTCAGAGGTTAAATGGTTCACTTAGGGTCACAAGGCTAGTGACTGTGGAGCCAAATCTCTCGTCTATTTCCTGGTTCCTCCCACCCCATCCTGCTGCTCTAAGCAGCAGTGGTCGTGTGGGAGTCTGAAGGTGGCCTCCACCTGACTTCAGCAATGCAGTTATCAGCTATCCGCTTAACCCAGGGATGCCAGCAGAATGAGGGACCACGGGGTTTGGTGCTCCACACGAGAAACCAAATAGCAAAGACAGATTGCAATCGATAAAGCTATCATCCGTGCATTTTCTGGTACTGTGGGAAACAGAAAAAGAAGCACTCAAACTACTTCTCAAAGGATCCACTATGAGTAACAATTTTCAGAAAATTAAAAATGCATCCACAGGTTGTGAATACCAACAGACAAGCTTGGTAAACTGAAAGACAGGACAAAGAAATGAGAACCATGCGCCAAAGGCTGCACAGAGGAATAAAAAAAAAAACCCAAACCTAACTCTGTATGCATTAACAGTATACTCTGATTTAAGCAAGTTAAATATAAGAGAGATTAAAAAAACACTAATCAAAGGTAATGCTAGCAAGCCTGCATCTGAATTTGGTTTAAAATTCAATTTAACATTTGTTCAGTTAATAAGTCCTGGGATTTCTAAGAAACAGGACAATATGGTTTGTTTTGCAATAGATCCTCAGCATATTCTGCTGGGGGATAACTCAACAGCCACGAGACCACAATTAACTCTTCTAAATGGGCAATGCATAGAGCTGCAAGTGAATCTATCAAACAACTGTTAATTAGCAGCAACAGTCACAGCAAAACAGGCTGGAAAAAAAAGCACTAATTTATGTTAACCAAACATGATGAGTCACTGTCACAGCCACTCTGTACACAGAATAATCTTTTCTAATATTTTACATCAAGGTGAATAATGTGTAACTGCTCCTAATTGGAACAAATATTTCACCATAAAAAAGAACCGTAGGGAGACGACCGGGAGGAGGAAATTCAGTTTCGTGGAGAGGCAACTGGAGCATTAGCGGGAGTAGAATTGGAAGTGGAGCAGCTGTGACTCAAACCAGAGCTCTGATATGGGATGCCAGTGTCACAGGAGTAAAACCATATTCTTTAACAAAAACCTCTGTCCTGATGTCCTGGAGGGTCCTGGCCTCAGAGGATTCTGTCACTCAACAGAGTGACTGGAAGAGATTCATGGAAGGTGCTACTTTTGCAACACTTCTAATAAGAATGATGTGCTTCAAGACACTCTATATTAATTCAGCTTGTACACGTGGGGAAGTTGGGAGAAGAAAGTGAGCTCTCTTTTAAAGGTCCTCCTAGGAGTGCAGTACTGTGTCTGGGATTAACGCATGGTTAAAAAGTGAACTTCAGGGGCTGCTTGATGTGGCACAAGTTTAAGTCACTAACTGCAAAGCTGGCATCAGATATTGGCGATGGTTTGTATCCAGGCTGCTCCAGTCAATCCAGCCCCATGCTAATGGCCTGGGAAAGCAGCAGCAGATGAACCAACTATTTGGGCCCCTGCCACTTACACGGGAGACCCCAAGGAAGCTCTTGGCTCTTGACTTTGGCCTGGCCCAGTCCCTGCCACTGCGGCCATTTGGGGAATGTACAAGGGGGTGGAAGATTCTTATCTTTCTCCCCCGCCCCCACACTTTGGTCTTTTAAAAAAAAGAACAGTGATTTTTACTTCTAAACAAAAAGTATTTACACTCCTTTGTGGAACAAACAAAAGAATTGGAACGATTATCAGAAACAATGAGTTTCAAGATACTGAATATCACGAAACAAAGGAAAATACCCCTGAGACTGGGAGGATATGACGTGAGCTGTGCAGTTGTTCAGGTTATTTCCTTGGGACAGTGTCCAAACCAGGGTTCAGAAAAGGGAAAACCAGGCAAAGCTTGATGATGCCCTAGCTGAGAGTATGAACCACCAATATGGGAGGACCAGAAGGCAGGAGTTTAGAGGGCACAGTATTGGAGAGAGCAAAGCTGCTGACAGTTGTGGAGCTCTGCAGAGGATGCTCATCCTGCAGGGTACTACTCAGGGTGTGCAGGTGAAGACACTGCTAGGACTGGGACTAGAGAAAATAACAACAAGGCTTACAGAGAGCTGAGAGGAGGACTGCCCTCACTATCCAGCTGGAACAATTGATAAATCTCAGGACGGTGGGTACAGTATGTAGAATTTTGCCTCAATAGTGAGAGAAAATTATCCCCAAACACTGCTTTCATTCCACTTAACATGTTTTTAAAAACATGAAGCAAGAGGCCGGCACTGTGGCACAGTAGGTTAATCCTCTGCCTGTGGCGCCGGCATCCTATATGGGCACCAGTTCTAGTCCCAGTTGCTCCTCTTCCAGTCCAGCTCTCAGCTGTGGCCCAGGAGGGCAGTGGAGGATGGCCCAAGTTCTTGGGCCCCTGCACCCTATGGGAGACCATGAGGAAGCACCTGGCTCCTGGCTTCGGATCAGCACAGCGCCGACCACAGCGGCCATTTGGGGAGTGAACCAACGGAGGGAAGACCTTTCTTTCTGTCTCTCTCTCTCTCTCTCTCTCTCTCTCTCTGTCTATAACTCTACCTGTCAAATAAATAAATTAAAAAAGTAATACTGAGATAACACAGATGCTAAAATTAGCAAGGAACACAAAACAGTAACTATAATTATACCACATATCATTAAAAAGCTACACAAAAGACAAAATATACTCAGTGTTTCAACTAAAGATATAAAGAAGACAAGCTTCTACAGATATAAACTTTCATATTTAAAAGTCAAATGACGGCCGGCGCCGTGGCTCACTAGGCTAATCCTCCGCCTTGCAGCGCCGGCACACCAGTTCTAGTCCCGGTCGGGGCGCCAGATTCTGTCCCGGTTGCCCCTCTTCCAGGCCAGCTCTCTGCTGTGGCCCAGGAGTGCAGTGGAGGATGGCCCAAGTGCTTGGGCCCTGCACCCCATGGGAGACCAGGATAAGTACCTGGCTCCTGGCTCCTGCCTTCTGATCAGTGCGGTGTGCTGGCCGCAGCGGCCATTGGAGGGTGAACCAACGGCAAAGGAAGACTCTCTCTCTCTCTGTCTCTCTGTCTAACTCTGCCTGTCAAAAAAAAAAATTTAAAAAGTCAAATGAAAGTAAATATAATTGGCCGGCGCCGCGGCTCAACAGGCTAATCCTCCGCCTTTCGGCGCCAGCACTCCGGGTTCTAGTCCCAGTCGGGGTGCTGGATTCTGTCCCGGTTGCCCCTCTTCCAGGCCAGCTCTCTGCTGTGGCCTGCGAGTGCAGTGGAGGATGGCCCAGGTGCTTGGGCCCTGCACCCCATGGGAGACCAGGAGAAGCACCTGGCTCCTGCTTTCGGATCAGCGCGGTAGGCCAGCCGTGGCGGCCACTGGAGGGTGAACCAACAGCAAAAGGAAGACCTTTCTGTCTCTCTCTCACTGTCCACTCTGCCTGTCAAAAAAAAAAAAAAAAGTAAATATAATTAACATTAGATTAAACATTTCAAAGACAATATTAGTAAAAAGTAAAGGTTAACAACAGAACTATCTGGAGCTGGGTATTTGATCTCCTTGTTAAGGTGTCCATTTCCCATATAGGTGTGCCTAGTTTCTATTACTGCCTCATGCTCCCTATTCCAGCTTTCCTCCAATGTATACATTTGGAGGCAGCAGGTAACCCAAGTACTGGGGTTACTGCCACCTATACAGGAGACCTAGATTGAATTCATGGTTCCTGGCTCTGGCTGCTGCGGGCATATGAGTGAACCAGTAACTGTAAGCTCTCATCCTCTATCTATATCTCTGTCTCTCTGCCTTACAAACAAATAGTTAGATAAATTGTTTATACATTAAAAAACAACTGTAAAGCATGAATTTCAAAAAACAGCTAAGACAACTTGCTATATCCCTTGCTTCTTCTACATCATAAAAATAACAATACTGATGATTTTTTTTCTCAATATTGATGGATCAAGGAATATGGTAAAGAGAAATTTTTTGTAGTAGGCACATAAAATAAAAGAACTCTCTTAACAATATTCCTATGAAATTTTCTTACTGCTTTTTCCAGGTATCTTTACACAATCATAAAAGAATATAAAATCTAGGTAGGCTATAAAGAATAATTACAGATCAATACTTATATGGCTATCACCCAGGTTAACAAACAGCATTATTTTACTAACAAAGGCTCTGAAAAAAAATTAGCTTTGTTTCTCTAGAAATAAACAATTGATGACAAAAATTTGTCTAAAATCAATGCCCTAGTTTGAAGGAAAAAAAATTTTTTTTGCAACCGAAAGTTTAATTTGTAGTAACTCTTTCATTTATTTAATAATTACTGAAAACTTATTTTGTGACAAGCTGTCTTTGGAGGCAGGAAGTGCGGGAGGAAAGAAAAGTTTTTTAGGTGAAGGGAAGAGCATATGTGAGGACCAAAAGTGGGAGAAGAAATATTAGCTATAAAACTAACCTAGGTCCCCTACTCTTCCCCAGCCTCTACCCTCAACTTTTATGAGGTCCACTGTTTTAGATTTTACAAGCTTCTCCATTCTTATTCTTATTCTTTTTTTTTTTTTTTTTTTGACAGGCAGAGTTAGACAGTGAGAGAGAGAGAGAGACAGAGGAGAGAAAGGTCTTCCTTCCATTGGTTACCCCCCCCCCCCAAAGGGCCGCTATGGCCAGCACTGCACAAGCTTCTCCATTCTGATTGTTCATGTAAAGCTGAAGTTTCTGTTTCAAGCATCATCTATGTAGCAAATTAATTTTCTATGCCTTGTGTGTATAACAAATAATATTGAAGTTCCATTCAACTCCAGGATTAGTCACTTTTTTTTTTTTTGACAGGCAGTTAGACAGTGAGAGAGAGAGAGACAGAGAGAAATAGGATTAGTCACTTAACAAGGGACTCAACTCATTAAAGTTATGTGCTTCTTTAAGGGATATACTTTTGTTTGTTGCAGTTTTCTATATAAAAATATGATAAACTCTGAACAAATTAATGTTTTCAATATATAAAATTTCCTTATGAGTTTAATTTCTTTTTAAAATTTATTTGAGAGAGATGGTGAGATAGAGTGTTCTCACCCTCTAGTTTATTCCCCAAATGCCTCAACATCTGGGGCTGGGCCAGGGCAAAGCACATAACCCACAACTTAATCCAGGTCTCCCATGCTGCTTCCTTGGACCTGCAGCAGCAGGAAGCTGTATCAGGAGCCAGAACCAGGAATCAAACCCAGGTATTTTGATGTAGGACATGAGTGTCTGCATTGGTGCCTCAACTGCCAGGCTAACAGCCTGACACCAGTATGGGTTCAATATCATATGTATTATTTATTTTGTCATATTTTCCAATTCACAGCATGACAAAATTGCTTAATAAAGCAAAACCTCATCATTAATATGTCAGAGTAGTGCTCTCTGCCTGGCCTAAACTCACAAAGAAAATGGAAGGTCATTATCTGGCTGATTGATCATAATTGTTCAGTATAGGTTCAACAAATGCTTATTGATGTTGCCCCTGTGTCAGACGTCATCTTAGGTGCTAGGTAAAATGATTCCACACCTCCCCTTAAAATTACCTACCTAGAAGGGAATAGAGACCATTATGCAGATAATTTCCTCGCTCTGTAGCAGTGGCAGAAGACAGACATGTGTACAGGCTGGTCAGAGAACAGAGAAGGGCACCCGACCAAACCTGGAGAAATGGTCCAAGACGTGACTGTACAAGAAGACTAGGACAGAAAAAGACTTCTCAGAACGTTCTGACACAGCACAAATAAAGACTTCAAGTTTGGAACCAGCAGTCCACTAAGAGTTTGGTATGATGTAAGAGTAAAGGGTGACAGGACAGGAGATAGGAACAGGAAGACGGCAGCAACAGACAAAGAGGGGAACAGGGATCAAGGACAAGTCTGCATTCCAGGCTAAGACTCACGGATTTACCTTCTGGGAGGGAGCAGGACAGTTTACAGTTAAGTGTTTGAGACAAGCCAATCTGGGTTTCAATCCCAGTTCTACCATTTACTAACTATAGAATTTTAAAGTTACTTACCTTCCTTGAACTTCAGTTTCTTCATCTATAATATGGGAGATGTACTTTATGGCATTGTTTAGAGAAATTAAAGACAAGACTCCCTGATACCATTCACTGAAAATGGTAATCAGTGAGAATGGATGACTGGCACTGTTATCAAGAATTAACTGCCTACCCAGGGCCAACATGCTGGCAGCAGAACAGGAATGGCAAAATGAAGATACCATAGATGGCTTTGCAAAGGGCAAGGCAGCAGGACTCATCAAATTATTGTAGTAATTCATACAGGAAGTAACAGTTTCACCCAGCATTTCACCAGCAGAGATGGTGGAGGGCAGATCCAAGGATTATTTAGGAAGAAAAGGACCCATTCATATAAATTATACCCCCAACCAAAGCAGGGAATCAAGAGTAGGATTCAGCTGCGGGAAAAAGAATGTTGAGATGCAGATGGGAAAAATGAGTAGAGGTTACCAGAGAACGAGATATAAAAACTTGCAGTTCAGGGTTTCTTTGAGCCAAAAGTCACTCTATGGTATATAATACAGAACAGCTTAAAATGGTTTTTTTCCCTAAAGTTGAAACTGAGATGTTTAAAAAAATAAAAATCCACTCCATGAAATGAGATGCACTGCCTAAATTTATATCCAATTCAGCAAGTTAAAAGATAACTTTAACTCTGAAAGACTGTAATGTGCAGATTCACCCACAACACATGCCCATAATCCTCAGTGAGTCCCTGACAGGTACAAGCACAGTCCTGCAACTATGCTCATCTGCCACAGGCCAGTGCTGTCGATTGTCCAACTGTAACAGCTTGAGCCTCAAGGGATTTTGTCTGTTGTTGTTAAGCCATGTCACCCTTACAAACCCCTCCCTTATGGGGACAAAGGAGAAGATGACCTAAAATTGATAAAGACTGAAAAACTGAGTATAAATTTAGTAGCATGAGGGTCCTCTGTCTATAAGATCACAGTTTATTTTTCCTGTAGAAAGGAAGTCCTTTTAGTAGTTTAGTTCACAGAAAAATGAATTACAGACTCACTTAAAAAAAAAAAAAGAAATGAATCTGATTCAATCAGCAATTTTGTTTCATTTTTTAATTCTTCAGTGAACTCCAAATCTTATTATAAAGCCTCACTTGAATATTAGACCAAGTTGGTACTGAAAAAGACCAGCCACTAAAAACAGGTTGTGAAACTAGTATTGTGGGAATAATTGGGTTAGCAGTATGTTCTTTATCAAGCTTATGTGCCTCATCAACAACAAGATTCAGTGCTCAGATATTAAGCAAAATTATTTGGCTGATTTGATGAATAATGTACCTCTTTAACACATAGGAAAAACGGACTGTAAGTTTAGGAGCTAGAGATGTTAATTAAAAAAAAAGGAGAGGGGGGTTTGCTGACAGTAGCTCTTAAATTCCAACAAACACAACCTGAGCAACTCTTTCAAAGAGTAGTGGCCTCATTTTTAATTTTTCTTCTCTTTCTTCTAGTTCTTGTCGGTATTGTCTCATTCTTTCCTTTTCACTCTTTCTAAAATCAAATAAAAGGAATGGAATTATAAAAAAAGTCATCTACAAGCATACAAAACACCTAGCTTAGAGGACAAATCTAAATTCATGAGCATAGTTTACAGTTTACCTCACTTCTTTTTTCTAGACTGGTAAATTCCCATAGAAGGCAGAGTAAACATTTCAGGTTCTGAGAACACACATTTTATGCCCTAGGAACAGAGTGGGTACATTGACTTCTGAAATCTTCAAGGCATAACACACTGAAGAGTTTTAAACTAGGTTGAAGAGATAAATGAATGTTCTCTTCTCTAGTTTCTAAGTATATAAAACCAAGAAACTCAGTCCAAATTAGATACCTTCTCTTTAAGGGATTTCTTCTGAAAACAAGACCTACTCTGACTTTTTACCCTTAATGAGATCTCCTAAAGGTTATTGCCAAAGTTAATTAAATGGGAACAGATCAGGGAAGAAGATTCTAAGAATAGAATACACAGAGGAAAAGGAACTAAAATACAGATTTACCCTAAGTATACTTAATCTTTGGACAAGATCCTATTAACTATGCTATTTTGTCTATGTAAGATATATTAACACTATCAAGATAATGAGATTTCATGGATTAGAGAAAAAATTATATTTTAAAATGATGCTTAATTATATACAAGTTGGTATTACAAAAAAGCTAGTTTACTACCGAAGAGTAATTAGTATATTGTCAGGGCTGGCGCCGCGGCTCACTTGGTTAATCCTCCGCCTGCGGTGCCGGCATCCCATATGGGCACCGGGTTCTAGTCCCGGCTGTTCCTCTTCCAATCCAGCTCTCTGCTGTGGCCCAGGAGGGCAGTGGAGGATGGCCCAAGTCCTTAGGCCCTGCACCCCATGGGAGACCAGGAGGAAGCCCCTGGCTCCTGGCTTTGGATTGGCGCAGCACGCTGGCCATAGCAGCCATTTGGGGAGTGAACCAATGGAAAAAGGAAGACCTTTCTCTCTGTCTCTCTCTCTCACTGTCTATAACTCTACCTGTCAAATAAATTTAAAAAAAAATAGTATATTGTCAATTAATTTCTTGCCTAAGTTCACCAAATTAACCTCTCTCTATCAATGGATTAATGCTACATTATAAAGGAGTATTCATGATAAAAAATATTAATGCTATATTACAAATGAATACTCTATAATTAAAACAATTTACATAAAGTATATATATATATACACACACACATATATATGTTTTCATAAATCAGATTAGAAATAAATTAGATTACTTACCTGGCTTTGAGGGAGATATTTTCCTACTTAAACATGAACATGTTAATGTGTAACATCTGGAACACTGGTTTTCAAACTTTGTACTACTGAATTCTAGTGCTCTGTGAAGGGATTCTAGGGGTTCTGTGAATTTTTTTATATTGAAACTAATAAAAATGCAACACATACTACTAAACATTAACACATGTGTATTAGTTCATCACATAACTGATGTTAATTAATCTCAATGTGTCAATTAGTGCTATCAGATTTTGTGCATACCTTAGAACAAAGCTCTGTAATGTACATTTATTGAAAAATATCCTGAGATTACAGGACAAGTAATTAGAAAAGGGTTTTATCTGTGTGAATCAGGATTTTTCTCAACACTGAATTGTACAACCAAAAATAACATACAAAAAGATAAGATGCTGACATCATAAGATTACAGCTACTAACGATGGCCACAAGATGTTTCTGTTCATTAACATAGCTTCATGGTTCTCACCAAAGAGATGAGCATACAAAGGCACATCAAAAAGTTTGTGGAAAAATGAAATTAAAAGATAAGCTTATTTTGGTACAAAATAAAAATTGAAATCCGTACAAAGATTTTTTTGAGCATACACATGTTCCATAAACTTTTTGATGACCCCTTATACATGCTGGTTCTCACCATGAAGTGTGTGTGTGTGTGTGTGTGTGTGTGTGTGGTATAAATGATAAAAACTTGAATCCATAAACTAAAACACTGAAACCATTCTCAATCTGTTTATATCTTAGTATCCTAACCCTAACCCTAATTATAGAAAAAAAAGTTTGAAAACCAGTGTTCTGGAAGTTTAAGATTCTTTCATGATACCTGAGATATTTAACTCTGGATTTAGACATCTGAGCTAAACTTTGATGTGAGTCATAAGCCTTAGCCCGGGTTGTCAGGAGTTTCTGCATTTCTTTCATTCTTTGCTTCTGCTTAGTTAGGAGCCGATTTCTCTCTTCTTCCAACATTTTCTTTTCCTCAAGTGATCTCCTGAGGGCAACAAACTAAGGCTTAATTCCTTTTAAGCCAAGGAAAATGCTGTTTAACAAAGATTTAACATGGGGTAATTTTGAGGTTGGAAAATAAGGCAACCTTTGGAGAAGATCTGACTTGTGAAACAGGAAATCCAATCAAGGCTGACTGCAACCTATCCCCGGAAATTCATAAAATGGAAAATCTATTCATTTCTTAGAACAAACCTTCTGACAAAATGTTATACATTACATAGTAAAATATCTCACAGAAACAACAGGAGTTAACATTTTCAAATTCCACACGGAAGGATTTTTTACAGAGCTGCACGCACTGCTCGGATCCTGGCTGTTTACCTGATGGCTTCTCCTCGGGCTCTGGAAGAGGCCGTGGGCATCGGAGGGTTGCAGTTACAGGGCATGCGCTTTGAACCTGCACTCTTCACTGGTGACTTCCTTCTTGGGGACATGTAAGGCCAACGTGTTTCTTTTAAGTTTTCTTCATCTGCTTTAATGTCTGCCAAGACTGTCTCTCTTTTAATGGCACTGGAGGACGGCTGAACATCAAATGGTCCGTAGTCTGTCAGGAGTTTCGAGCCCTGGTACTCCGAGGGCAGTTTCAGATACGTCTTGGGCGAGTCTTCGTAGTCAGGAGGCTGGCTCCTCGCCTTGTGCTTCAGCAGCACAGCCTGGGCAGGATGCCCAGGGCTCCTGAAGCGTCTGTAAGCTGGCTTCAGAGACAGCGGGGAGGAGTTCTGTACAAGCTCCTGGGCTCTCGTCGGAGCCCTGAAGTTCCTATGCTGATCTTCCTCTTTTAACTTGTCACTAGCAATTGAACTGTAAATAGATCGAGGTACTGGTCTGGCTTTAAATCTATGTGTTTTCTTTTTAGACTTAAAAAAGTCTCTCAGTTGCTTTTCCCGGGCCGCCTGCTTCTGTTCCTCTCTTGCAATAAACTTAAATGGCTTTTGTGAAGCCAACAGAGCTTCTTTGTTTTTCTCCTTCGTGCTCCTCCTCCGTTCTTCATTCTGCTTGACGATGTCACGATAAAGGGGGAGAAAGACATATTCAGGGACTGGGTTGGCCCGGAACTTCTTAAACTCCTTCTCTTCTTCCTGTTTTTTGAGCAGTTTATGTACAACTTCAATATCTGATTTAGATTTCATGGTCTCTTTTTTCTTCTGTTCTCTGATCATCATTTGAAAAGGCTGAGGTACTGTGATCCTTGGCACCCATTCTTTTGGTCTCCTCCTTGGTTTTCCAACTGCTTGAAAGTGAGCATCTTCACCTTGAATATAATCTTTAACCTGAAAGTTTGTCCACATGTTGTTGATGAGCTCCTTGGCATAGGACATCACTCTGGTTTTCCTGGGAGAGTCTTTTTCTAGGTTGGGCAACTCCTCTTCAGAAGACGTGTACGAAGAAGAACGGCCTAAATCAGGCTCTGAAAGTGATGTCATTAAGGAGATAGGGTGATAGTAGTTCTTTTCTGAGACAGAGCTAAGAGAGGAGAATACTTAGGTTACACTTTCAGTTGTATGTGACCACATAAAAAAACTACGATAGAGGTGTATATATATATAAAGCTAAGATAGAGGTGCATATGTGTATATATATATATTAAATATTTATTTATTGATTTGAGAGGCAGAGTTACAGAGAGAGGGAGAGACACAGAAAGAGGTCTTCCATCTGCTGGTTCACTCCCTAAATGGCTGCAATGGCCAGAGCTGGGCCAATCAGAAGCTAGGAGTCAGGAGTTTCTGGGTCTCCCACATGGGTGCAGGAGCCCAAGCACTTGATCCATCCTCCACTGCTTTCCCAGGCCATTAGCAGGGAGCTGGATCAGAAGTGGAGCAGCCGGAACACGAACCGGCCCCCGTATAGGATGCTGGTACCGCAGGTGGAGGCTTAACCTACCACACCTGGCTCCAAGGTATATATATTCTAAGATCAAGGCATCATCAGGAGAATGGAGCTAACCAAGGCTTGTAAAAATTACCACTTTTATTTGGAAGAGCACTGGGAGATGGCTGTAAACTATCTAACTCAACTCCCTCATTTCCCAGGAGAGGCACTTGAGACAATAGAGGCTCCTTTCACCTACCTTCTGTTAACTTCTCCATGTTGAGAACCACCATCCTGAAATATATTTCTGATCACATCAATCCCTTGCTTTGAACTTTTTAATGAGTCCTCATTATTGCAATAAGAAAGTGTGGAAGCAGGGTTTTGGCCTACCAGTTAAGATGCCAACTGAGACACCCACAAAATGCTGTAAAAATGTCCCAGAGAGGATTTTCTAGCTTCACTTCCTGGCTCCAGCTCTTGAATCCAGCTTCCTACTAATGCAGACCTGGATGGCAGCAGTAATGGCTACTTGGGTTCTTGCTATCCACGTGGGAGACCCGGCTTGAGTTTCAAGCCAACCATACTGCCTCAAGCTTTTGGAATTCAACCAAAAGACAGAGGCTCTTACTCTGTCTACCTCTCTAATCAATAAAAATTTAAAAAACAAAAACAGTCTAGACTATAAAGCCCTGGAGCTGGTGTTATGGTGCAGCAGGTTAAGCCACTGACTGCTATGCAGGCACTCCATATGTGTACTGGTTCAAGTCCCTCTCTCCTTCTAACTCTGCCTTTCAAATCAATCAATCTTTGGAAGAAAAGAGACTAGCCCTGCCTACCTGTCCAGTCTTACCTCTTACTACTCCCTAAAGCCCCAGTCACCGTTCTTCAGTCATACCCAGTTCCGTGAAATCCTCACAAACACCCTGATTTCTCACGCCACTGCGCCTTTGCATACACGGTTTCGGCTGCCTACTCTCCTCTGTTTCTGGAACACTGAGTTACATCATGTGCAAAGCAATGTCAGGTCCTCAGCCTATCTTTGAGCTCCTTGAGGGCATTTTTCTTTGACTCTTCAATACCCAGGTAAGGTCTGGTGCACAAAGCTGCACATTGGACTGGATGAGTTAAGGGACTTGTGTGTTAAGTTTCAAAGTGAGAGGTTCACAGCAGAAATGGGGCTTGAAATTACAGACTATCTTGAAAATGGAAATCAGACTCATGCGTCCAAGGCTGAACTCTTTGTACATATCTTTAATGAGCTCGTGTTAATTCAAATATTACAAAAGACTATTTTTTAAAAGGAAATTATTTATTTATTTGAAAGCCAGAGAGAGGGAGAGGGAGAGAGAGAGATCTTCCATCTGCTGTTTTATTTTCCAAATGGCCACAACGGCTGGAGCTGGGCCTCTCCAAAGCCAGGAGCCAGGAGCTTCCTCCAGGTCTCCCATGCGGGTACAGGGACCCATGCCCTGGGGCCCTCCTCTGCTATTTTCCCAGGCCATTAGCAGAGAGCTGGATAGGAAGTAGAGTAGCCGGGACTCGAACAAGTGCCCATGTAGGATGCCAGCGTTGCAAGTTGGGGCTTTACCTGCTATGCCACGACGTTGGCCCCTATTAAAGTCTTTTACAATTAAACCACTGGGGGCCCGCGCTGTGGCGTAGTGGGTGAAAACATTGCCTATAGTGCCTACATACCATATGGACACTGGTTCAAGTCCTAGCTGCTCCACTTCTCATCCAACTCTGCTAATGGCCTGGGAAAGCAGAAGAAGATGGCTCAGGTTCTTGGGCCCCTGCTACTCATGTGGGAGACCAGATGAAGCTCCTGGCTCAGATCTGGCCCACCCTTGGCCATTGAGGCTACTTAGAAAGTAAATCAACGGATAGAAGATTCTCTCTCTGTTTCTCTCTCACATGCTCAGTAACTCTGACTTTCAAATAAATAAATCTCAAGAAAAAAAAAAAAACTTTAATATTCATCATTTAAAATGGCCCAGTCTAAACATTTTGATATGTATGCCCACAGGTCGATGAGTGGTGAGTCAGAGAGAAAATAACCAAACAGCTGCTACAAGGCCCTCAAAGCAAGAGGTTATCTCATAAGCTGGTAAACTGTTAAATATTATACATAAATCCCACCTCTGTATCTCATTAAGAATACAAAAGAATAGTTGAGAAAATACTGTGAAATAATTGTGTCTCTCACTTGTAAGTATATATTGTATTTTACAGTCCACAAATAACACTGAGTCCACACTTACCTCGAAGAGACACTGGGAACATCTTCCCTGACGATCACTGGCTGAACATCCTTTAAATTTAATTTATTGTGGTACAGTTTCTCTAATTTTGCCATAGTTTCCATGTGGGCAGCCTTCAGCTCATCTAGTTTCCTGAAATACTCGTCATTGGAGTGGTAAATGTCAGAAAAGTTTACAAAGTCCTCATAGCTCATACCACTATCCACCCCAGAGAAGTTGGTGTTAAAATCAACCTGTGGGAGAAAACACTCATGATATAATGTTTGTGTGTGAAAGACAAATTCAGTTAACACTGATCCAAATTCTGCTCCCATGTTGTTGTTGTTGTTGTTGTTAAGATCTATTTCTTTATTTGAAATCAGAGTTACAGAGAGAGGGAGAGACAGAGAGAGAAAGAAATCTTCCATCTGCTGGTTCACTCCCCAGATGGCTGAAACCAGGAGCCTGGAACTCCATCCAGGTCTCCAGCATGTGTGGCAGGGGCCCAGCTACTTGGGCCATCTGCTGCTGCTTTCCCGGGTGCATTAGCAGGCAGCTGTATCATAAGTGGAGTACCTGGGACTCAAACCAGTGATCACATGGGATGCCAGTGTTGCAAGTGGCAGCTTAACACACTACTACAATGCTGGCCCCCAAACACTGCTTCTTAAAGGGTCCAACTAGTTAGGCTATCAGTTACTTGTGGGATATGTAAATTTACCCTTAGTGATATTTTAAGAACAAGAGGCAGTGAGACTGAACTGCCAGGAAATAATATTACTTAATCCATTTTATAAAGAATGGTTAGATTCCCAGATCAATCAAAAAAAAAAGCTATTTAATCCATTATGTTCATTTAATCATAGGATAGAACCAAACCACCCTTCACAAAGAGCTTCTTAAGGAGCCTCCTTCTGGGCTGCGAGTTTCAAGCGAGATGACAAGGGAACACAGGTCCACCTGCTGTAAACCAAGCCACCACAGCTCAGTGCCTTCCCCGGAGCCAGGCTCCTGCCATGTGGCTTAAAGGGTGCCCCCGTGGAGAAGGCAAGGGAATGGGGCAGACATAGTTCTCAGTGGTGTATCGAGAAGCCAGCAGTGGGGTGAGACTTCAGACCAGAGTCAGGGGTCATGGGGAGGCACAGGAGGGATTTTCACCAAGCCACTCCAGCAGGCATGACAAGGACTGGAGAGAGAGAACAGACAAGGGCAACACATGGTTGTACTTAATATACAAGTCATGCCTGGAAGGGTCTGCCTGGAACCTTTCCCTCACTCCTTTCCATGCTTTCAATTGAAGCAACTAAGGAGATAAAACACCATTTTCTCCATGGATATAAAAATTGTTAACATGTTCTCAGTTGAGAAACAGTTGAAATTATTTATGATACTATGCATAAAAGGCTGCCAACCCTGGTTTTAAATTTAGCCTACTGCCTGGAACAGACTCAGAACAAAAAAAGCCTATTTGCTAAAGAGAATTATGGATCCTTAGGGCTGGTGCTGTGGCGTAATGGATAAAACTGCCACCTGCAATGCTGGCATCCCATTTGGGTGCTGATTCGAGTCCTGGCTGCTCCACTTCTGATCCAGCTCTCTGCTTGTTTCCTGGGAAAGCAGTGGAAGATGGCCAAAGTGCTTGGGCCCCTGCATCTACATGGGAAGGAAGAAGCTCTTTGCTCTTAACTTTGGCCTGCGTCAACCCTGGCCATTGCAGCCACTTGTGGAGTGAACCAACAGATGGAAGATCTTTATCCCTCTCTCTGTAACTCTGACTTTCAAAAAAAAATAAATCTTTTTTAAAAATAGAAAATAGACAAGAATAGAAAATCAATCTATTCAGCTTTTCCAAACAATACAATGCAAGATTGAATTATAAATAATGGGTATAGGAATGGTATGTTTTTAATGGGCAAAAATAGTGTAAAGTAGCTTGTGTTATACCACTTAGGGTAACAAAGAAAACAAATGAAAGAAAGCAAGTTTTTCAAATTAGAACAGATATGTAGAAACTTGCTACCAATAAACCTATGGATCAGAGAACTGCTTTATGCATGCCAAAACAACAGAATTCTCTGCTATCTTCTTATTTATTTATTTTTTAATTTGAGAGGCAGAGACAAAGCGAGTGACCATGAGTGCTCTATCTGCTGCTGCCCCCTGAGATGGGACAAGGGCACAGGCATCCTAACCACTACACCAGGAGCTACTGCTCTGCAATCTTCTGATGTTTCTTTTCCTTTTTTTTAAAATTTATTTGAAAGGCAGAGTTACAGAGAGGTAGAGACAGAGAGAGAGGAGAGACAAAGAAGCATCTTCTGTCCGCTGGTTCACTCCCCAAATAGCTGCAAGCGCAAGGGCTGGGCCAGACCAAACTGAAGCCAGGAGTCAGGAGCTTCTTCCAGGTCTCCCATGTGGGTGTGGGGCCCAAACACTTGGGCCATCTTCTGCTGCTTTCCCGGGCACATTAGCAGGGAGCTGGATGGGAAGTGGAGCAGCCAGCACTTGAACTGGCTTTCTCCGCTAAGCCACAGTGCCACAGCACCAGCCCTAAATCTTCTGATGTTTCTATATGTGCTCATTATCATTACCTCCTTTACTGTGGGATGAGTACTGAAAAGGAGTAATCACAAGCATAGAGGAAAGCCAGGGAGATGAGGTACAATGTATGGTGAAGAAGGCAATGTCTGAGTAGGGAACTAGGAAACGTGTCAGATGCTGCCTTTTAATGCCCTACTTTGTTCTCATTAGTTCTCCACTCTCTGCACTTTCATAATACAATTAATTCTTAATGAAACTGTATTTTATATTTTCTTATTAGCATGCTGTCATATTAATCCCTAAGAGAAAAAGGGCCTGTATTCTGTGCCTGGAAGAGGGTTTGGCACATAGAACCTTACTGAAGTGTTTGTGAACGAAATGCACCAAGCAAATGAGGAATTTAAAGCATAAATCACATTTAATGAACACAGCAATCACTAATGACCTTGGGAAGAGCAATTTGAGAGGAATGGTGGGAATAAAAATAAGACTCAATAAATCGAATAATAATGGAGGAAAGGAAATAGAGTGGATGCTAACATTAAAGATCTTTTTTTGAAGAATTTAAACTTTAAATAAAGAGACTAGTGTTGTGGCAGTGTGTTAAGCTGCTACCTGCGATGCCAGCATCCCATGTGAATGCCAGTTCGAGTCCAGGCTTCTCCATTTCTAATTCAGCTCCCTCTTAATGCATTTGGGAAAGCAGCTGAAGATGGCCCAAGGACTTGGGCCCCTCCTGTGGGAAACCTGGATGAAGCTCCTGACTCCAGCCCAGCCCAGCCCAGCCCAGCCCAGCCCCAGCCACTGCAATTCTTTGGGGAGTGAGCCAACAGATGAAAGATCTCTGTCTTTCCCTCTCTCTTTTTATGCCTTTCAAATAAACACATATACCTTTTAAAAACAAATTGATAAACTGATATGAAGGAGCTGGCGCCGCAGCTCACTAGGCTAATCCTCTGCCTTGCGGCGCCGGCACACCGGGTTCTAGTCCCGATTGGGGCGCCGGATTCTATCCCGGTTGCCCCTCTTCCAGGCCAGCTCTCTGCTGTGGCCAGGGAGTGCAGTGGAGGATGGCCCAAGTCCTTGGGCCCTGCACCCCATGGGAGACCAGGAGAAGTACCTGGCTCCTGCCATCGGATCAGCGCGGTGCGCTGGCTGCAGCGCGCCAGCCGCGGTGGCCATTGGAGGGTGAACCAACAGCAAGGGAAGACCTTTCTCTCTGTCTCTCTCTCTCACTGTCCACTCTGCCTGTAAAAACAAAAACAAAAATAAAAACAAAAAAAACTGATATGAAGAAAAAAATACCCCCCAATATTATATCATCTTATCCCGTAATGATAAAAAAGAAAAAAATGCTAGAGAGGATGTGGGAAAAGAAAACCCACATACACTATGGGTGAAAACACAAATAAGTACAGGCGTTATGGAAAACACTATGGTCATTCCTCAGAAAAGATAAAAATTGATCTAACATATGACATAGTTATCTTATTCCTGGCTATGTATCAGAAAAAAATGAAATCAGCATATCAGAGAGAGAACAATTCTCCCATAGTAACTCTAACAAACACAATTCACAGCAGCCATGATTTGGAACCAACTAGCTGTCCATCAATGAAAAAAGTGGATAAATAAATAAAATCTTTAAAAACAAAAAGAAAAAAAAGTGGACAAGGGAACATCATATAGACACACACACAAAAATAAAATATTGTTATATGCAAAGTGTATCGAAAGAGATTACTAAATTAATTGAAAGAAGCCAGACACAGAAACACAAATGTGACATGTTCCTTATCATCTACGGAAGTGAAAAAAATGTTATCTGAACATAGAATTGTGATTATTAGAGGCTGAGAAGAGTTAGAGGCTAGGGATAGAGGAGAATTGGATAACAGGTCCCAAAATACAGTGAGACACAAGTAACTTCTGTTGTTCAATAATACAGATTGATGACTACATCGCACCATATTAGGTAAAAGTAAAGAACTGGAGGAGAGGATTGGGGCTGGCACTGTGGCATAGCAGAGTAGAAGCCGCTGCTTGCAGTGCCTGAATTCCATATGGACACCAGTTCAAGTCCCGACTGCTCCACCTCCAGCCCAGCTCCCTGCTAATGCACCTGAGAAAGCAGCAAAACATGGCCCAAGTGCTTGGGCCCCTGCACCCAAGTGGGAGACGTGGAAGAAGCTCCAAGCTCCTGGCTTTGGATCAGCCCAGCTCTCGCTGGTGAATCAGCAGATGGAGGCTCTCTCTCAGGATGAGTACTTTGTTAATCTCCTGGTTCACTGAGAATTTGGGGAGCTAGTGTGTAGCCTAGTGGTTAAGACATCCATGGGGCCGGCACTGTGGTGTAGCGGGTAAAGCCGCCACCTGCAGTGCTGGCAGCCCATGTGGGCGCCTATCTCAGCTGCTCCACTTACAATCCAACTCTCTGCTATGGCATGGGAAAGCAGTAGAAAATGACTCAAGTCCTTGGGCCCCTGCCTGTGTGGGAGACCCAGAGGAAGCTCCTGGCTTTGGATTGGCACAGCTCTGGCTGTTGCAGCCATCTGGGGAGTGAACCATTGGATGGAAGACCTATCTCATTCTCTCTCCCTCTGCCTCTCTGTAACTCTTTCAAATAAATAAATAAATCTTAAAAAAAAAAAAAAAAAAAAAAAGACATCCTCGTCCCATATCAAAGTGCCTGGGTTCAAGTCTCAGCTCTGTA